GGGGGGGGGGGGGGGGGGGGGGTTGCAGGTGCTACATCCTGGGGCCCCAGCAAATGTCAGGGTCCCACCTGCCTCGGGAAAAATGGGGTCTAACAGGTTTATAAGGAAACCCAAAAAAACATTAATGATTGTGTGTATAACGTTTTTACAAAACATTGCAATTTAGCATGGTTTCATATTTTGCAGGTCCTTTCATGCTAAATGGAATTTCTCCAAAGCTTATAGTAATGCAGCTCTGGGGGGGGAATAATGCTTATAGAGCAGCAGAGGTCGTCCTTGGAATACAGCCTGTGGCTTTTTGATCTCAGGACCATCTTTGAAACCAAAAGGCTTAATGTAAGAAGGAATGAGTAGAACCAGGAGGAGGATGAAAGAAAAAGCAGACTTTTAAGAAAGGAGGAGAAATCCGCCATGCTCTCCTGAAACAAGAAGAGACTGGGTCGTGTTTTTCACAAAGAAATTAAACAATATGCTCTCTAGAGAACTGAGGAATCAAGCAGTCTCTCTGGAAATATAAAGACAAACATGTTCTCAAGATAGAACCGATGTGCTCTGTTGAACTGTGGTGTTTTCTCACTTCTGTGCTTCCTCTCGCATTGTCTTTCAGAGGTGCTAAGTCCAACTGTTGTCATGGTTTCCGAGCGTGGGACCCGGGGCGTGAGGTTACAATGGGGGCCACAGCAGCCTGAATCTGTGCAGCTGTACCGAGTGGAATACGGGGCCCTGCCCAGAGGACCGGTTCAGATTGTTACACTGGATCATCTCCAGAACTCCACAGAACTATCTGGGTTGCAGCCCGATACAGAGTACCTGATCACTGTCAGTGCACAACATTCCTCCGGCCAGGAGAGGGCGATGTCCATCAAGGTCTGCACTCAGGAGGGTGAGGAATGATAGACTTCAATTTTTCCACAGTCAATGGCTCTGAAAGAACCCTCCCCCCGACAATTTAATCATGATCTCTTCTCCTTTCAGAGCTTCCTGCTTTATCTGACCTGCAGCTGACGACGGTGGGAAGTAAATCGGTGCAGGTGCGCTGGTCAGGGGCCGCAGAGGGGCTGCGGGGGTACTGGCTGAGCTGGGAGGGAGAGGACTACAGCTACTCCGGGCAAACCTCCTCCCTGCACCTGCCTGCCAGCTCCCTCTCTACGCTGCTCACCAACCTGGCGCCCGCCAGCCGCATCTGTGTGTCCCCCGTGTACAGGACAGCGCGCGGGGAAGCACTCTGCTGCACTGCACAGCTGCACTCGCGTAAGACACACTGACATCCATATGTGTGTAATATGTGTGTGTGTATATATGTATTATATATGTATATATGTGTATATGTTTTATATATGTATGTAAATATAAATTTGTGTG